CGTTTACTTCGCGGATTTGAGTTTTCAATTCGAGCTGAGATGTGACATTTTTTGAGAGCTTTTAACTACAGTAAAAAAAGTTAAATGTGATATTTTTTTAAATAACTTTTAACTGTAGAATCTTAAATCGGTGAAATGAACGAGACATAAATTAAAACTATATTAAAGTACACATATCGAGAATAAAAGTCATTCTTATTGTACACAATTGCTTTTACATTAGTGTTCTATCTTTTTTTTTTTTTTGGTGAAGTACAGACGGGGTAATTTCAAAGGCCCCCATGTAGTCTTCTTGAATTTTTCTGCATCGCTCCAAATTCATGCTTGTACAAAACAAAAAATTTATACGAGCCATGAAAACAGTATAAAATAGTTTTAACTATATACAAGGGCCCTAGGGAATCCTTGTCAAAAAGGAGAGGTCCAAGACTGTATGAATAACACAAGTTAATTTCAAACACATATATAAATATAAATATTTATATATATATATCATTTTACTTCCCCTATCAATAGTATTTACCCAAGTTCTTCCATTTCAAAAATGTTACTCTATTTCTAAGAAAAAGTATCAGTAATAAGTCGGAATGTACTATATGAATGTGAGCTGTCGAAACAGGCTTTTATATAATGGATTTTAATTTGTTTCTCACTTTCCACGATTAAAATAGGATTATTGGCACAAATAATCCTTAATTTTTTTAATAAATTATATTTTAATCTTTAATTGTTTTTAGTAAAACGACTCTTAAATTCTTTAATGCAATTTAGTTCTTGCACTTTTTTAGGTCTCGTTCACTTCACAGATTTGAGTTTTCAATTTAAGCTTTATGAGAATTTTTTATGTAGCAGAAAAAGTTAGATATGATATTTTTTGAGAGTTTTTTACCGTAGAAAATTAGAACTGAAACTGAAAGCTCGAATCGGTGAAATGAACGAAGCGACGTTTAGTTCATGGATTAGAATCATAAAATTAGAACCATTTTCGATTTACGTGTATTTTTTTGAAAAAAACCACTATAACGAACCATGAACTATGATTCGAATCGGGATACGAATATCCCAACCAAACAACCCCTTGAGTCTTTAAACGACCCCCAACAGGTACAAACAGGTGCCACCGCCACTGTCTTCTTAGTCTTCGCCTTCCTGCAATTTCTCGAGCCGGCGCCGGCGACGGCGGAGGACTGAGCAGCCGAGGTGGAGATCGAGATTTCGCGGCAGCGCTGATTGGAGGAGGAAATTTGATAAGAATAGAATAATAATAGGATGAAGAGAAGAAAGAAGATCGGTGATGATTACCTCGGTGTCGAGATTGGAGGAGGAAATGGAAGAGTCGGTGGGAGAGGAAGGTGGGGGAAGGAGATCGTTTGCTGGATCTAGCATTTCTCGGTTTCTGTGGAAGCTGAGGTTTTGGGGGAAGTTTTAGAGAGAGAGAGAGACAGAGAGACAGAGGCGTTTTGTTGTTGCGGTTGATGAAATATGAATGATGCTGGTATTATTTGTGTTTGTTCTTTGCTTTGAAGGTTGCAATGTAGAAGATTGAGAAAGACAGTTTCTGGTTTCGAAGAAATTACTTGATGGCTGTTGTTGCTTTTGTTGTTGTTGTTGCCGTCTTCCATCGTCGGCGACGGGAGTCTGACGAGAGGTTGGGGAGATTTAGGGTTCAGACATTGTTGGATTTGGAGATGAAATTTAGGGAAAAAAGAAGAAGAAAAAGTCTTTTTAACGGGCATTTAAGTTATTTTATTGAAAAAAAAGATTACATGATGAGTCAGGTGATACGTTAGGTACAGAATTTAATCGATATTAATGTAAAAAATTAAATTACACCTGTTTAAAAAAATTAAGAATCGTTTATTTAAAAAAATTTAAAGATTAAATTGTCACTTATTAAAAAAATTAAAAACCATATGTGCTAAGAACCCATCGGAATATTTTGGTCCTTAAGGAATGGACCTCAATCAATTCCTTGGCTGCATATTTTTGTATAGTTTTGTGGCAATGTTGTATGCCATGACTAAATTAATCACGTGATACTACTGGAAGTTATCAACTAGTGGAATATATCAGCTAAAACCCAATGTGGTCACGACTAATTAAGTCACAATCTTCAAATATGTACATATTTATGTTTATGTGAGCTTTTTATCAATATATATGTATATATGTATATTTGTTTATATGAGCTCATCCACTCCAAAACCATGAAAAAACACCAAAGAAAATGTGTTTATTAGGGGAATACATATATGTATTATATACGCGCATGTGTGTGTATATATATATTTATATGTACGCAGATAAGTGATTGATTAATTAAATAAATAATTATATGAACTAAAAAAGAAATTGTGTGTCTTGACACACCTGAGGAAACTATGACAGTCTCAAAACACTAAGAAAATCTTTTCCATTCACATGGTCTATTAAGGCTGTTAATAAACCCGTAAAACCCACAGGCTCAACTTACCCCTCCCAATCCAACTTGAAAAATGTAATTTCAAGTATTAAAATTTTTGTTTGGCCCATTTAATGTCTTGTCTGAAGTTTTGGGACGGGGTATGGATTGGGCCTATAATGGCCCGCACATCTCAACCCAACATGCGCTCTAATTTGCCTCATCTAATATCTAACTATAGGCATGTAACTTATTTTTACTCTCTAGTTTCTTCATGTCTGAATTAAGCATCTAGTTTGCTTTATGTTAAGACTAATTTATGAGTGTAAATTAATTTATATTTGATGTTGGATGGACTATTTTACTTCATGTTTGATGTTAGATTAAACTTTGAGTTTTTAATTTTTTACACGTTGAAACTGACCACCCAACCCACCTCGTACTGCCCCAACTCAATATAAACATCATTGGGTTATGAAATTTTTTTAACATTATTGAGATTAAATATGTACTATCTGCACCTTTTAAAATAAAAGAATAAAAAATCATACCCCAAACCAACCTAAGAATGAACAGGGCTATGGTCTATAAAGAAAAATGTACTAATAAAACGAATATAAGTAACTTTGAGCTCTTATTTTCTCGACATTCCTTCAAATAAGAAATAAAGTCAATTAGTCAAAGATAGCAAATAAAGTAGGGGGGGAAAAAAACAGAATGATTACATATTCAGACCGACGTCCGTACTACTGGTACTACTGGAGTACTACATGAGTTTAAATGAGGAACTGCATTGCTTAATTACTCTCTTTCCACTATTAATCTGCCTACCACTTTCAATGGAGGATTTCAGCTTCAATAAGGCCATCTCTCTCTCTCTCTCTCTCTATCCTTTCGTTTAGGTGAAAAGTTAAGGCCTTTCTCTGGATGAACTCTAGTTGACAGTTATGAAGGGCTTTATTACTCTGTTATTCTTTTCGGCTGTTAATTTACTGTTCTGGAAACTATAATTTATTAGCGTTTAGTAGGAAGTTAATGACATCAGTAATTGCTCTGGTGACTAAAGTCTGCTGGGAAGTACCATAGTTAATAGCTGCAAGATGCGGAACCACTCTCTCTCCGTACCAAAAAAAGGTTATCCTAACTCTTCTAGTTATGTCCATATTCATAAGATTAATAATACCATTTCATGTTTGCGATCTTGTTCATTTCACTGATTTGAGTTTAAAATTCGAGTTTTACTATAGTAAAAAGTTCTCAGAAACAGTCACATTTAACTTTTTTACTACAATAAAAAAACTCTCACATAAAATCACATCTCAACTCGAATTAACGAATTAAACGGACCCTATGTTTGTATACACCCCCTGTTGGATCCTTAATCCAACGTTGAGCTTATATGTGAATAACTATGTGTTGCGGGCTGTCATATAAGCTTAAACCCAATTAAAAGTGATCTACTAAGGTTTGAGTATTTTGGATTTTAATGTATCTAATAGGGTGTGAGTCTTTAATGTGTAGAGATTTAAGAGTAATTTCTATTTTTATGATGGGCTAAAATAAAAATACTAAAAGATAACCGGGAAGTTATCAATAAATGACAGTTATAGTCTCTAGATCACACGTAACATTTCATTCCTTTTGACATCCCATCATCAGAAAGAGTACAGAGAGAAAGTTAAAGGATTATCTAGGAAAACATGTTGATCTGGAAGGTAAACTGCACGACTCTAGAGAAAAATCAATCAATATGGATTCAGGTACGCTTCCGCTTACAAATTTCTTAATTCTTGATGATCTAACATGAGTATTCTTAACTTTTAGGTGATGATTTTCACTAAATCATTGATTTCTAACACCCCCACTTAAAAATGATGCTTATAGGTTTCGACATTTCCATTATATCCTTTTGTTATCAATTATAACGAAAACGTGGTATCAAAATAGATCGTTCAAAATAGTAGCAAGTTACAGAATAACTTAGTGGTAAATTCACACATAATGTATCAATTTCAAATCCTCCGACTTAAAGTTTCAAAAAAAAAAAAAAAAAAAAAAAAAAAAAAAATTTAATATTAAAAACCACAGATCGTTTAAGTTCAAATCCATACAACCCTTTACCCTCCCTCACAGGCCTTCCTACTGTATATTGGCCATTGTTGGGTAAGTAACTTAAATTATTTTTAAAAGTATAACAATTTTGTGTTTTTTTTGGGATAAGTACTTATTTTTTATTTTTAGACGATAGTTATTAAAAGTTTATAAATAAATATTTTGTGTAAAATTTTATGTGTATTCAGATAAATATAGAGACATAGTGCCTCCTTATAAGAGAGAAAAAAGTGAGGAGAGAAATTAACAATGGTGTAAGGTATTTTGGGTAGAGAGAGAAAGTGAAAAAATTTACTGAGTGTGTAACTTAAAACTATTAATGAATTTTTTTTTATTTTTTGTAGATATAAAATTTTTTTTGAATCACTTAAATCTTTATCTTATCTATTTTTTTATTATTTTTATTTCAATTTATTTTTCTTTCCCAACAGTCACTATAATAAAAGAGGCAGAATGATGTTTTGACAAAAACACGTGCGGTGTTTTGGGTATTTCGCTTTTAGAAAATTGAAAATTCGTCATACTTGAGTTTGGCAATCTCTTCTCAATTCTCAGTCATTGTTGGAAATTACAGAATGGAAATGGCAGATTCAAAGACAGAGACAGAGACAGAGAAGCAGCAAAACGACGTCGTGGCAAATGGGCTGAGTTCTATGGTGAGCACTCTGATGAAAGACTACGATTCCAAAGCCGAGGACGCTCTCAGAAGCCAACACTACTTATCGTCTTCTCTCGATCGTCTCACCCGTGGTAAGTTTCCTTTTCATTTTTGCCCTTTTTCATTCAAATTTCAATCCAAGTTTTGGGCTTTCAATTTCGATTTCTTTGCTTTTGATGTGTAATTTGGCCACAACCCATTTGCCCATATACAATAATGATCAGATTATTATATAATTGATTAACTTTCTTTTATGTTTAATCTTGTTTTCTTATAGTTCTAGTCATATCTTTCTACCGAGTGTAGTATATATCTCATAATTGGTTAGGCTGTTTTATTCTCGGATTAAATTTCGGGATTTGGGACTATAATAAAATGGCTCTTTTTTTTTTTAATTCACCTTAGTTTATCACTGATTAAGTCAATGATTTATTACTGATTAATCAATATCAGTTAGTAACTAATCAATTTCGATAAGCAAATTACCGGTTTATCAGTGATGAATGAAGTGATAATGGAATTTTGGCAGAACTGGATCAGCTGCTGGAAGATGCGCCAGTGCCATTTATAGTGCAGTATGCTGGGAAGGTTTCGAGTGTTAGAAAGAGAGTTTCAACATTGAATTCACTTCTCAAATCCATACACCGAAGACTTGATAATATGGACCGCATGCTCTCTCAAAGTCAAACCATTCTACATGATGGTACTTATATTTCTTCCTAAACTCTGTTATTTCTCATTTGTTATAATTTTATACAATTACTTTGATTTTATACAATTACTTTGATTTCATATCATGATTTAACTTACTCTAAGCATAAGCATTTTGATAGTTTTGCAACTTCTGAACCTGTAGTTACCGACATTCGCTTGCGAGTGTATCGTGATTCTAAGATTGCATTAGATTAATAGGAATTAAATGTTCTTATGGTTTTGCCGGTTAATGAAGCTTGATTTCTGTGTGCTGTTGTAAGTCTTGCTATTCCCTATTGTTGTTCTAGGGACTCTCTCTCTCTCTCTCTGTTTTTTTTTTGGTTTTGTTTTGTGAATTTCTCTAGTAATACATGTTTCTTTGTTAGAAAAGACAACCAATGGCGACAAGCTTTTATTTTTCGTTAGAAATTGTTGCTAATGTGTGCTCCAGGGTATAGTTCCAGCCAATATATTTATCTGGTTTTGTTCTTAAAATTCTGTAATGTTTGTCTTTGATCATGTCGTTGCTTCTACATTTATTCTATATTTTGATTTGTGTGTTGCTTTAAGGCTCTCTTTTAGTAAAGATGTGCATAAATTTTGCAGAGATTTCAGCCACACAGAGTTCAGAACACCAACTTTCTGGAAAATAGAACTTTGTACTGGGGTTCATGAACAACGAATTAGCTTGTTTTGAGTCTTCAAGTTTCACCTCTTAATGCCAACACTTTAATACCTCTTGGATTATGACTGTTTCCATGATTTTATAACAATGGAGTTTCCTCTCTCTGTAAATAAAACCTTTTGTAGTGACTAAACATAAAGACATGAAAGACCTATAATCATTGTATGCAATGATTGATGCTCAAAGGTAGAAAAATTGAATCCAATGAAATGCTTGGAAAACTAAGGTGTCTTGCACTTGCAAACCTTGTCGAAGAAGATGGAGTATGCATGTTGCGCTGTAGCGAATTCTTTGTTTATTGTTGTAAAGGTTGGGATTGGTTCCCATAACTTGATGTGTGCTTGTTTATTCGTGTTGTCTTTGGTTGTCGTTCTTTAGCCCCTTTGAGCCGGTTCATGTTGGGTTTGGCTGAGTGAGGTGAGTGACCCTGCTGCCATTGTGAGGGTGAAAATTTGTGATCAAAATAACGCGGTGACAATTGGTATCTGATCCCCATTGTGGAAGGCACGACTACGATGAATGATTTGCGGGAACGAGTGACGTATACAAAGTCGATGGGCATTTTTAACATTTCAAATCTGTAGATGTGGCATTTTCAGCAAACGAAAAATACTCTTTTCGTGGCAAAAATCAATCAATGATTGTGGTATTTGTGTAAAACCTCTTTTAAAACGGCCCTATCTGGTGCCGAGTGAAGAGTGAGCACGTGAAGGTCCATTACTTGACTGCTCGTTAGTAAGCTTTGGTATTATTATTTTATTTTATTTTTTGACATGTCATCGTAGCAGGTTATTCCATGTTTGCATTTCAGTATCACATTGTTGCTAAATTATCATTAAGGATTCAACGGTCTAACGCTGTTTTGAGGCATCTGATCTGTATCAAGTTCTAAGTTTTACTTGTCTTAATTTGATGTAGTTTTTTATTAAATCTAACGTTCAGAAACATACATTACTATAGTAGGTTAGAAAGCTCCAATCGTCATTTGAGTGAAAATGGCACGCACCAGATGTACGCTGAAAAAACTTTAATATGAAAAGAACGTGGTACATATGGAAATAAAAAAGAATTGCTTCCAATGTTTGCGTTGGACGAATTAAGTATCCGCGTAAACAGGAGTGCAAAACCATTGTTCTCTGTTTTTGCTTGAACAGTGAAAAACAATTTAGATGCTAACAAGAAAGAAAGAAAAAGCTTTTCTTTTAAGTATTTTTAGGTGCTCAAGTTTTTCCCATTTCTTCTTGCTTTGTCTTCCCAATCTCCACAAGTAGAGTCAGGAGAGCCTCACACATTTCACAAGCATCCGGCTCTGAAGGATTCTTCTTTGATGAAGAGTAAACCATCCAGGCATGATCAAGCTTCCTATCTGGTTTGACAACAACCGAGCCCGGAACTTCAGCATCACGGCATGTCACTAACCCGTCACTCTTCTCGCCATACCGGAGCTGCAGGTGGAGCGCACACAATGCCATGGCTGCAGATATAGGCATCACCACAGGCACCTGACGTCCTGCTCGAGAAATATCTTCGTAATCCTCATTTTCGAACTTCAGGAGGGGAAGCCAGGGCAGTTCTGCATGAGCTATGTGGGTCATGGTTGCTAGGACTCCCGGGGCAATACTTGCTTCAGAGTGGAAGGAGATGAGAGGGACTTCTTCTGGGAGTTTGTACTTCATGATGAACTCCTTCCGCTTCTCGTATGTAAGGTCCTCCAATGCCCGTATGTCACCCTATAATGGTTAGACTTGCATGAGAAAAGAAAGATAATATATGGAAACTCAGACACTGTAATATCTCTCCCCCCCACCAAAAAAAAGGGTTTTAATGCAAGTGTAAGAAATTACTGTAAGGATGTAAGATCATAGAATTTGAACATAATATTAGCAAGATCCTTCATGAGTTTGCCGATTCAAGCAAGATATTGTCGATTCAAAAAAAAAAAACTAACTTAAGCATCAATACGTGTGAGTTGAAAAAATTGTTACCTTGATCAACTTGCAGATTAAAAGCTCCATAATCCTCCTAGTTTCCTTATCAGCAATCTGGCCTTCGCGGAGCGTATCAGAAGCAATGGGGGTGCCACCATATGGGCTTTGTACCAATGCCAGACCAGCGACTTTGTCTTTCAAATCAGTCCAGTACATCGACAGTGCGGCTGCGGCATCAACCCCACCTTTGCTGTGCCCTAGCAGCATCACAGGCTTGCCAGCTCCCCAATAGAGCTCTTCAATATATTGCTTAAGTTCCCAGGCATTGTGTTCCACCGATGCCTTCATACAAGAAAATATAAAGGGAATTTAGACAAATATTAATTCCTATTTTACATATAGTCGAGCCGTATGAAAAAATTACTTCGAAACAAAAATGTAGAAAGGAAAAGTTTCACCAATGTTACAAATCTTAGTTATTGGGGAGTAATCATTTAACACCTCACTGTGGATTTTTGCAATATGGCAAGCTAGACCCATCTTCGAAAAGAACCGTTTAGTTCCGACGAAGTACAACGGACCATGATTACTAAAAAGGCCTGGAAAATCAGAGTAATTACTAATTAATAATGCTACATCTCCAGTAAACAAAACAAAATCACATTGAGTTTGAAGACAAAGGGATCACTCTTATACCGGGAATTAGTAGGTAAACATATGAGTTGGGAAGTGTGTGCTCTCCGTTCCTGTAGTAAAAACCGATAAAAGTACGAGTAATAAGATTCAGAGATCAAAGATAAACAGCTAGAGAGAACATATGATCAGTTTTTAAACAGAACTGGTGAATAGAAATAATTAAGTCAAAGAAGAATACCCTTTATATTACAAGAGGAATACAATAATGAATTCTGATGAACGAGTGCATAAACATGGGATTTGGTGGAGTCTCACCATATCATTTAAGACCATTTAACCACAAAATGCATGTACTAGCAACCAAAATTAGGCTATCTTTGGACAAAACTTCAGCGTAGATACAGTGTTGATCAAAACAAAAAAGCTAACTCCATAGGAATTAAACTGAGTAGTTAAGCCCGTTCATTGACACAATAATTAAGGATAACGGAAAACTATCAAATAAGTTGGCTACCTTATTTCTGCAAGTAACTCCAAGAATCTTGCTGTGCCATCCTTCACGGAAGGCATTCCTGGCGTTTGCCGCAACCACCAAAAAAAAGGCATCCCTGGAGTCTGCTGCAACCATCCAATATCATCAGAAGAACCACGCAATGTTTTCCGTACTCGAGATATGATGCTGAAGATGCGAAAATAGCAAAAATGACCCATGAGAACCTAAATTAAGCGACATCGTTATGCAAAAGCAAAGAACTTGCTATACAAATGAGGCATAAAGCAAAAACTTTTCACTACTTCAGAAGCTGAAAAATGCTTAGTTGCATGAGATCTTCAATGGGGGTCTAAACAACAAGTTTGAAACCATACTTCTTTTACCTACAAATTTGGCTTTGAACACATCTGATGTAAGAGAAATAGCATCTGCAAGACGATATTGTCAACCTCCAGGCAAACTGTAATCCGTACAACGGGAACACCAACCTGCAGCTGGCGAACATCTAAATAAAATCTGCTAACGCATTCAAGGCTTACACCAACAACACAATAAACCAAGAAGATTGAACGATTCATCTTGGTCAGTCAAGATTTAAGTAACTCCCATTCATTGTAGAATAAACCAAGAAGATTGAATTTTTGTGCGCGGGAAAATCCCTTAACTTTAGCATCATATCACAGATTTTTAAGGGGGGAAAAAAGATTAATTACCCTTGAAAAATGAAAAGGGGACCTGCATAAAAATCAATGGTTTTTATAATCAGAGATCTTGTATCTACAGACAATTCTTCTGTGGGTTCTTGGTATCTTCTTTCACAGATTCTGAGACATGTACAGTCAATACAAGGTAGAGATGATGATGAACAACCTTCTGAAGAAGATCTTGGGTCTTGTTCATTAGAATTGACCACTAAATTCTCTGAGCAACTATTAAGATCTCTGAGCACAAGATCCTCTGCAATAACATCATGAAGAAGTAAATTGATCTAACGGTTTAAAGAGCGATATGTTGCGAACAGTACTAAGAAATAAAGTAGAGAGCTCACCGATAAATGTAATAAATTGATGGCCTATATAACTAGCCAATGTCAACAGACAGTTGAAAATGTCGTCCATTGATGAGCCAAATTCAATAATGTTTGTATTTTTCACAGCATTGCCATGGGCCTGATGCAAGGACCGGTGTTAGAACTAAAATCACCAAGCAATAATCAAATCAAACCAGGAAATCCACAAACTTGTATATTCATCATAAAGATATAAAAACAATATAAAACTAAAGGCATGCCCTTGAGATTTCTAAGGAATTAGGAATGATCGTGCAGTTTCAGTACTTACAGTTGAAGGGATTTCAGATATCTCATTCCTGAAATATACATGTCCCATTTATTCTTCCAATCCTAGAATCACACAACAGAAAATTTCATTATATTACTAGGAAATCGCCGAAACAAAAAGAGAAACTATTGCCTAGCTCATTTTCCATTGTTTTTGTAACTCTTAATGTCTAAGAAAACTTAAGGGGAACAAAAACTGTCGGACAATTTTTTATTTGCTTTTTATTTTTTCATGAATAGAGAGAAACTACCTCCAAAAGAAATGGGCAGCTCACAAACAAAAACATCAGTATTTTCCACACTCACAGCCATCGGATCTTCAAAAGAGAATAACATTTGAAGACTATTGACCGCTAGAATAAGTCAAAATATTTTGAAAACTTGAGAATCAGACTTGGTCCAATATATTGTCTCCAACGCTTTAAGCTTGCATCAGCAGAGTAATGGGAAAGAAAAATTAAAATCTGATGCTCGCAATTCATAAACAATCGAATAAAACGAAAATACAAGAACCCAATTGAGGTAAGAAAATCAAAATGCAAAGAGAAAATCAAGCGTCGGACTTACTGATCTAAACACATTTCACTTAAATTACAAAAAAGAAAAGGGGGAAAAAAAACTTGAAACCAATTAATCAGAGAGTGGATTGCAATATTTCATACACTGATGTAAAGTTCCCAACTTTGAACTTCGAAGTCCCGGCCGACAAACTGTGAGAACTTGAATGAAATCTGCCAAAAACCCAGAAACAGGTTTACTCTGTAGAGACAAAACAAAAGCGAATTCGAATTTATAGCGGGAAAAGGGGGACAAGAAGGGAAAAATCTACAACCCCATTTTCCAAGAAAGTTTTTAAATTTCAAAGCAAACAAGCAAGGAAGGAAGCAAAGAAAGTAAAAGAAGTGTTAGTGAGAGAATATTATTACCCACCGAGTAAGCAAAAAGAAAGCTGATCATGGGGATGGGAGTGGAGCAATAGATGATCATTATCCACTTTGCTTTATTTTTTTTTTTTTTTGTTAGCTCCTATATCTTCTCTGACGCACAAGAAATGGTCTCTTTAGCAATAGCTGCAAGAACAAAAAAAAAAAAA